AGAGTAAGTTTACGCAAGACCTCATTTTAAATAAAATTGTTATGAGTGAATATCATTTTTATGTCTTTAGCTTGATACACTAAGATTAAATTAGTGTGAAAAAACTCTCAATCCATCGATTTTAATTGTAAAAAATTTACGATTGTTGTACAAGTAATCAACTAATAAAGATTGCAGGTTAAAATTTCTATAAAAACATAAACCAGTATCAAGTTTTCCTACACAGCTTATCAAAACGATTTTTTCTACACTAAAGAGTGAAAAAATATAAAAAATATCCAGAGTGCAGGGGAGAACACTATGAGTGCAATCTTCCTAAGTCAAAATAAAAGTAGTGTTCACAAGGAATTGATCAAGATGTTTATATTGTACTAAATTTCATATCATCCATTCAATAGTACATGTTCAAATATTGTTACCAACCCTCTAATTCACATATCTAATGTCTTTACACACAAGAAATGAAAACGACTGAAGTTTCATTGTCAACTCTTCTAGAACGCGATTTCTACCAATTGGGGTCAGGTCTGACCTTAAAAAGTGGCATTTGCCACCTTTTTGTTAATGTGTCACCCAAGATTTTTGAAAAGTGGCATTTAGATTGAAAAAATTTTGTGACATTCTTGAAACCATAGAAAAATACACGAGAACATCAAGCGCGGTTATTTCTCGTTTGTGGCTAACTTATATTCCGTTCCCATGTTATATTCAACGAATACCTAAAGCTATCGATATCAAAAGAGAATTTAAAAGAGTCCATGAGAAGTCCACATGATTTTACACTACTTTGAGGTTTAGAAAGCAGCATACAACCTGTGATTAGTTGGAGGTGTGGAATGCATGGTCTGTCCCAAAGAGTAACTGCGACGACGTCGCTCCCCAGGGCTATGGAATATGCAGTCCCGCTTGGAGGCACACCACGTGAATGGCGGCCATCGACAAACGTTTACTAAATGACGTTGTCGCAGGATTATACGACTATCGAAAGCCGCAAAGCTAGTCGTTCCATGGCGATGAGGCGGCACTCAGCCAGAGCACCTAACCCCCGTCAAACACTCAGCACTTCTACCTGTAGAGCATCCATTTCACAAACAAATTCTGCAGATCTACGAATGCTCTCACCAATCTCAGCCATTTCGGAAAATCAGTCACAAGAAGTCTCAGAAATGGCAACCTGCTTAACAATCCAAGGATTAACAACCAACAGCCTGGAGCTCAATTCCTCAGCTTTCGAAGATGGAAGCATTGGAGAGAAAATATGCGAAAAGTCGACTACGTATGAGAACACACGGAGAACTGTCAGTGTCAAATACTACTGAAGACCTACAAACACGAATTGGCCTTCAATCTGTTTACCCTACCGACTACTGCACTCGTCGAGGATAATAAGCTTCATCCCCTGGCCAAGACCAAACCCTAATTCTCCCTCAGCGCCAACTTCGACATCGCCAAATTGCGAGTTCGGTGACCGGGCCTCGTAACCTAACGTCCAGACCCGTGTACCAAACTGCCCGCGACGGCTTCCTTACATTCGACATTCATCACCCTCTCATTATCAATTCTTGCATGAGGGAGAGAAAGGAAGGAGTTTGTCGTTTAGATGAGTGCCGCCACTCAAGAAAATGCGGATCGAAATTAGTAAATTCACATATGATTTGAGAATTTCCTAATATAAAATTTAGTGAATAAAATAGAAAATTATTTCCTTGCTCGTATTGCAGTTTACTAGTTAACTACACAATGGATATTTTATTGAAGGTTACTGTGATTTTGTTTTTAAGTGAGTTCTTCACAATGTGACACATAAATTGGGTTTTGATTTCATGTCTTTTCTTACTTAGGTTTTATACGATTCCGCTTGTGAGTTAAAGTTCCCAATATTCACCATGATTGTACTTAAAGCACATAGTGCTAGTATTTTGAGAAGAAATGAGCTAGAGGGTTATGATCATAACTCTGAGTATCTTAGACTTCAACTCCATAGTGTCAACCTCCAAAATCCACGAAACATGGACGGTCCCTTTCCGAACATGGACAGAACTCTTTAAATTCGGACTCACGAGTTTCGAATTTGCCTTATTTCGTTTTCAGAAACTTTCGTATGTAAAAAAAAAGAGTCTTTGTTATCTAGGTGAATTTACTAGAAAAACTAACAGAACCATTCAATCAAAATTTTGCGATGAGTGTTTGTGATATTTCTTTGTTCATCTAGGTAATTTTGCTAGAGAAACTAACAGAAACACTCAACTAAAACTTTGCTATTACCGTTTGCAAAAAATTCTTTCTTAATCTTGATGGTTTTACTAGAGAAACTAACGGTTTTATTCAACTAAAAATTTGCGGTGACAAATGATGAGTTCAACCAGACAGGTTTTAGTATTTTGAGATCAATGTTTTAGGTTTCCAATAATCTGAACAGTTTGATTCCAAGTATTAAGAATAGATTTATTCAACTCATAAATTTTTTTGGAGAATTAGCTTGCCTACTTTTGAAGGGTGTAGAGTGATTTATCAATGCTGAAATGGGAAAAATATATTCACATATAAAAATTTACATAACACCACCAATAGTGCTTGCCAAAATAACACCCATATCTCTATTACATTTCTCTTTAAGGCCGTCAAATTCGGCCCAAAAAGAGTTTAGGTGAAGATTCTGCTGGAACTGTGTTAGCTATTTTGTTTTGAAAATTATACTTATTTTGTTGAGATACGGATTCCGCTCTATATAGAGAGGACTGAACATAGCCGAAGATGAATGACATCACTTGTCATCAATCTTTAGAGCTGGAGAAAAACTCGGTTTCATAATCAAAATATTCTAGCATTAAAGTTTTAGTTTTAGAGATGTAGTTTTAGTTTTAAAGTTCTTACCTCAAATTACATCCATTGCTTTGTTGTGATAATTATATTCTTATGTCTTCAGCCGTGCACTTGGTAAATTTACTTACTGTTTCGAACTTTTGAAAATTTACGCCGCAAATCTCATACACAACCAAAGAGCAACTATAGGAGAAGGATAAATTGTGGCATGGATCTAATTTTAATAGTGTCAAAGATGGCATAATTTAATAAACTGCCACTTTTAATGAGGTATGGGTTAAGGTCTACCACGTGGTGCCCAGATCACTTTATCATAAGCAAATCGTACACAAACTAGATCTTCAAATCACCTAGTGAATCGAAGATCTGTAACCGGGACCAAGAATTAGCGGAAAGAATGAAATCGAAGGTCAAAAATATGTACGAAGATATGATGATTAGTAACCTATAACGCACTCCTTCCACGGTGGCTGCTTCTCGGCAAATCTCATGGCTGTCTCTCGCTCTCCTACTTCCTTAATCACTTGACGGTCATTGAGGAGCCTCAGCTGGAAGGAAGGAAGTGCCCATCGTGGTTCAAAGTCAAAGATTAGCATTTTAGAAGAATAAACGACCAGACTGGGTTTAAACGAAGTGGTTGCTGCTGCCACACCTCCAATGATGAAAATCCCATCGGAGAGTGTACTATGATGTCAAGAGAATCGTATCGGGGACTGTGGTATCTGTCAGAGTAATTGTCTGACTAACTGACCGACCGAAAGTGGAAACAACCGAACCTTGCTAGCGCAGTGACACAGCGCTGAATAGTAAGTAGCAATGAGTTCATCGGAAGATGGAAGTACGAGAAATATGCTCGAAAAGCTTCGTCAACCTTGTTTCTCACAGTCCCCGCAGATTCAGCTGGGCATCAGTAACTGGGAAAAGTGAGGACATGTTCATGAGCACGGACCCCGAGACCCTCCGCACGACTGACCGACTGACTGACATTGTCGTCATCATCATCGGCAGCGGCGTCACACGACGGTCGCGTTGCGCAAAAGGGTTGACGTAACGGTTTCAGGATTGCCCGAGCTTTTGTCGATTTCTCTCTTCCCAGTCGCAAAGCAGGAACGAACACTCATTCCCACAAATAGTTCAACGTCCTCATCGACAGATCAGATCCTCGAACTCCACCCCAGAATCGTCCCCCAACTGAAGGCTTGTCTTGATTCGTCCCACCCCGCCCGAACCCACACAGACCTCACCTCCTATTCTTCGCACAAAGCCTCGACAATCCCCAAACGGATCTCAACCAGACCCCTCCAAAAGTCCAGGAATACTCGCTCGCTCACTCGATCGATCGACGAACGAATGCAAAAGTGCTCCTCCGCTTTAAGCACAAATTCGATTCTATTTTGGTAAGTCTTGCAGGGACGGGGTTGGTTCCAAATATGCTCTCGCTATTACGTGACCGCGAGGGATTTCGCAAATCCCCAAAAGCGGAGCCCACACATCCACAGAACCAAAAGAGGCGAAGGATCCAAACGAGCCCGACGAGCTCATGGCCGCCTTGTCCCATCGTGTTGCTGCGAGGGCACCGTACTGCGCTGCGGTCGACGGGCCCCAGTGTCGACCCCCGGCGCTCCCTGACTGACTTTGCAGCTCGCAAAATTCCACTGCGCCATCCGACCATACCCCCCGGCGGTATATCCAAAGTATATCCAAGAAGATCTCTCGCCCGAGGTATATGCCTGCGGAATATTCCTCGGCTGGGCCTCATGCGCGCAGGTAGCGAAACATCATTGCATGAACATTTTCACCTTTCGCGCTGTCGCTGTCTGCGGACTTGGACTTAGCACGGAGGACGACTTCGGCGCGAGTTCTTTTAAGTTCGTGAAGGCGAGGAGGGAGGGAGCGGGTGCGCCGGACTGCGACTCGGCAGGCCGAGACCGAGTCACCGGGCGCGGGGCGGACTCGGAAGCGAAGGTGCGGGCTGGACTTGACTTAGACTTAAGGCGGAAGTGCGTAGTCGAGGCGTTTGTCGCTTGCTGCCGCGCGTGAAGGAGAGTCGAGGGAGTCGCGATGGCGAGAGCCGCGAAAGGGACGACGACGATCGACCGGCTCTGATCGATCGACCTCGTGGGAGTTCAGCGCGCCATGCCATTTGGGTCCAGGCATTCCACTTGTGCAAAATCCTTTTCCGTCCGCGCGAGCTCGCACGTACACGAGCTCCGATAAAATTTCGCGAATCGGAGCAGCAGCAGCAGGACGAGGACGACGAGGACGATGATGATGGAGATGACGATGAATGATTGAAGCTCGTGGCTGCCGATGTCGCTGGAGGTCTGGGTCGACGCATCATCGAGCGCGGGTCGGGTCGGGTTGGGACGGCGGAGTCGCCTGTTTCTTTGCAGGCGAACAGAATTTGGAACAGAGCCGGGGCAGAATTGGCAGATGTGGCAAGATTGTGAATGGAAGGTGGTTGCTGTAAACATGTCTGCGATGGATTGCAGTTCCGGTTCCAGAGACGAGGCGGGCTGCATGCGGTGTGTCAGAAGGTGAGGAGGCGCTTGGACATGGAGATTTAAGTCCGCGCCTCCGAGCGCAGCAGTCACCGGGAGGAGGAATCGGACGAGGCGCGGCTGGAGTCGCAGCGGCGCCGGGGGGAGAGCAGGAGCAGGAGTAGGAGCAGCAGCCGCAGCAGGAGGAGGAGGAGGAGGAGGAGGAGGAGGAGAAGGAGGAGTTGGGGCGGACCGAGTGGGGAGATGGCTGCCCCGAGGTTGTCAATGTCTAGCGCTCCGCAGAGTGTGAAGGCGTCTGGATCAGAAGCGTATTATAAGAGTAATCTAGATCTCGTGTTGAAGGAGAACAAGCAGCTGAAGCAGAGGTTGGACCAACTTGAGAAAGAGAATCGTGGATTGAAGAAGGCCGTCTACGATTTGAGCGTGAGGTGCCGCCTCGTCCTCTCCCTTTTGGCTGCTTTGGACCATGGGCATGCAGAATTATGTCTAGCGTACAGAAAACGGCCGTCTTTCCCCGTGCATAAAAGATTTCAACTCTCACGTGCTTCTAATCGAGTCGGCCATCGACCTCTCGCACGCAATTGCGTATCAGCACAATTGCATCGCAAGGATCGGGTTGGACTAAGTTTTGGAGGACTCTCCGTCTTTTTGTATGATATGAAGCTCCGAAAATTAACTTGATTGTACGCATACTTTTTAACCAAAGACTGGTCCAGTCGATTGTCCATAGAGAGACCACCAGCCAGCAGGTACGACATTTGACGGATTTTCTTGAATGGACATTGACCCGGGCAAAGGTCTTGAACATGGAGACGGGCGGTCCTTTGTGGCGTATTGTGCTAGTCCGGACGGTCGGTTGCAAATTCGCCTTCTCAGGAGTTGTGATCCTAATTTTTTGAGGGAACAACCTTGGGCACTGCATGTCGAGAAGTTTCCGATGTTTGGCCGCCATTGTCACTTCAGAGAAGCAGGGTGTCGATTGAGTACTTGACCCCTTCTTTGAGGGCTCCCTGTATTCCCTTTTCAGTCGAAATTGAATTCTTAGATGCGATGACAATGCAGATGAAAGGGAGAGGCCTCACTACATTTAGATCCCTTCTTTCATCTACCGCTTGATCACCTGGGTTAGATCCAGAGGGAGGCCGGCCGTGTCGTAATGGTTAAAAAGCATCCTGGTCTGAAATGTCTCGTCTAAACCGTAGATTCGAGATGTGAGCTCATAATTAAGCACAAAATAATTAATGGCGATTTTAGGACTTTTTGGGGCGTGGGTCGCTGGACTGCCCAGGAAAGTAGTGCATATTCCTCATATGTCAGGGAGTGGTAGAGCTGACAGTTGCACGATGTCTATAAGTACGGGCAGCACACGCTGTTCTAATGTCTAGCCTACTTTCTCATGCTGCAATCCAGCATATACAGGCGACTCAGCTTCCGAACCAGCGAATAGCTTGTACGAGCCCCGATTTCCCATATTGATTACAACATGGGAAGACGGGGAGAGTAGGAAGGATGATCTTAGAGCTTCCTCTTCAAAGATCCGACCAGTCCTACGAGCTCGTTGTGCTCAACTGTAAATGTTTAGAGTACGCCTTTTTTCTGATTAAGGAACAGCTAATGACATCATCGAGCGTGTTTAATCTCAGAGATAGTTACAGCGAGATTCATTTTCGATAAGTCTCCGAAACCATGTTAGTCTGCATTCTCGTTGTGAAGACGCAGATAAAAGGTCAAATTTCCTGTCAGGATGTGTACGTTTGCTCACTGCGGTCTCGTTTGAGCAGGCTTTCCCTTCTTCCCCATCATATCCGCCGGGGGATACAGGACCTTGTTATCCAGATACTGAGTTATGGGAACGTTTTATAGTCGAAGGAATGGAACCAGTTTCTCGACTCCCGACCGTTTCCTGCTTGAGTATATAAACCCTGTAATCAACTCCAATGTGACCTTCCTATGTTCTCAGTGGCTTCTCTCCACTTGTCTCATCTGTTCACTCGTCTCGGTCTTAACCCCCGTTCCTGAGAGTCGTATCTGTTAGCCCCTGCGGCGTCATAAAGTGGATTCGAGCATACACCGTTAATTTGCATATATTCTGACTGCTCATCACATTACCTCCCGTAATTGAGAAAGCTAACCTGAATAAAGCACTATGGTTATTTTTCAAATTCCTTCTTGGAAGGGGTTGGAGCGTATTAAACAGAGTAACTGCGTATACCTCATTCTTACGGAAGATGGAACTTATCTGAAAATCTTTCTCGTACAGGTTCTTATTATAATTTTCGAGCGTAGGCTTCTCTGGAGAGATGTTGGAGGAGAGATGCCGCTCTGCTGGTCTTCATGCAAATACATTACTGCTCTATAAGGCTTGGTTGTGTAATGAAAACCTTGAAGTCTCTCTTAGCGTATCAGGACTCGAAGGCGTCGAAGCTTTGGCTAGAAATGAACATCCGAGAAGGCAGCCGGCTTCTGATTCTTTTGGTCACGATTTATTACCCTTTTGTGTATCATGCATGCATGGACTCTTTGTGCGGTCAAAGAATGTCTTTAGTGACGATGGGCCTGATGCTGCTTCTTGATCGTCTCTACAGGCACAGTGCCTGTAATGTACACTTGGGAAAGGTCGCAAGACCTTTTGATATCGATAATCTTATCACACCAGAAAGTTCACCACCCGAGGAGCTCGATGATGTTGTGCGCGTTCCTGATCTTGGACCTCAAAAGGTTGGCCTCCAAGGTTTGATTCTTACTGTCTTGTGACTTAATCCTGGGAAGTATTGCTGCTGTGTCAGTGCACATTTTGAGGCCTACCAATTTCTTTGTGATTTCCTGACGAATGCTACTCGATAGCAATAACTGCCCCCGTTCTAAAGATTTGTTATTTAAAGCGACCAGCTTTCTGAGGTTAAGTGAAGTTGTTTCTATTTATTGGCTCGAATTTAATGAATTGTATTACTTGAGAAAGTTGTTGCTCCCATTTCGTTAAACTCATGTGTTTTAAACCTTTCTCCTCATCGCAGTTGTCCCCTCGTCCAAGTCAAACCGGAAAGCGGATCGACGACAATTCTACCACAAGTCTGATCTTAAGGTTCGAATGCTTGACAAGTTTTTGATACCTGAAATGTTACACTGTACATTTAGGTCTCGCTATATTCATAGCTAGATCTTGTTAATAATATATATATACATTCCTTTGCCGCCACACATGAAGGGTTTCTGATTTTGATCAGAATGTTTATGGTCTTGCTTCCAGGGACACACGGGATCTGTGTATGCTGCACAATTTTCCAAGACGAACAATTTGCTGGCATCTGGTTCCTTTGACCAAAGTGTGCGAGTTTGGGATGTTCAAAACTCCAGGGAGGTGAGGATCGAGTTTTTGCTGAACTGACGTGAATATTCTTGAGATTGTGGTTGAGATCACTTATTGGCGTCATGACGATTCTGGAGCTAACTTTCTCGTGAACAGGTACTATGCTTCCAAGAGCATCTACTTAATGTATCAGATGTCTGCTGGTCAAATGATGGGACTGTGCTTCTATCAGGCGGCTTTGATCACTGTGTAAAAGAGTGGGACGTTGTTGCCGGGAAAGCGTTGCATTCGTACAGTGAGTTACAGGGTTTTATACAAGCTGTTCGCTTCAATCCGGCAGGTCTGCTTTCTCTTCTTTCCATATCACCAAGTGATGTTTGAAAAAACGACGTACCTTTGAAGTGTATTATTCACACGTCGCCTTTCAGAAAAGGTCGTAACTTGAGAGTAATGGAAATTTGGCTGCAGACAATGATGTGTTTCTAGCCGGAAGCACATCCAAGCAGGTTTATGTCCTGGATCGTCGTGTGAAGAGTACTGGGGCGATTGTGATGCACCTCAGCACGGATGCGAAAGTGAGTGCCTTGATCTTGTATCGAAATGGGATCGCGTGTATGTCAGGTGATTCCCATGGGGCAATGAAGTTGTGGGATTTACGAACTAAAGCGTGTGTGGAAACAGTCTTTAATGATGAAGCACACAAACCCATTACCTCACTACATATGTCGGCTGCACCCGATGGTAAAGTATTCCAATCATTATAACTCGATTTTTCACTCTTTACTAGTTGTCGTTTTTATACCTTATCTAAGAAACGAATCAAAAGTATCAGGCCTGTAAGTTAGGAGCTAAGCCACCGCCTATCAGTTGTTGGCTGTTGAGATTGCTCAGTTTCCTAAAGTTGGTGATTAGTATCGTCATTCTCCAATTACAATATATATCTTACTGTGACTTGTCAGACAACATCGTCTGCAGGAATTGTCTGCTGATTAGCAGTAGGAGAATCAATCAGCGAACGTGACGATGTGAGACATAGATGGATGTATAGTAAAGGAAAATGAAGTTATCTTTATTACATTCATAGTACCTCTTTCACTGACAAGTTACTTACCACGTACAGCACATGGAGATGACGGAGTTCATGTCGCAGTCAACAGCTACGATAATGGTGCGATTCGTGTCTTCCCCTTTCTCCTTTTCGTGGAATAGCTACGGTTTCTTGATGTGTTTTTTGTCAAAGTTGAGTATAGTTCATACTGTACAAATGATCAAGATGGCTCTTTGCACGCGAAATCTTAAGACTTTTTGGAAGCTTTTAGCTCCACCGGCTCTCTGTGGCTACTTCTTTGTTTCAGTGTAGGTGTGGACCCTCTGGACGTCTTAGTAAGATCAGTATATTAGATTTGCCAATATCTTCAACCACCAGGTTGATGCAAAGACTGCTGCCTATGTCTCAGTTCATGCTCCAGGTCGCGAGTTAATTCTCCTCCGTATGCATGGTATGATGTATTGATGCTTTGAACGTCGTTTTGCAGTTTTGAGAGTGTACGACAAGTTTTCAGTTATTGAGCAACCTCAGATGCGCTTGGGCGGACTGCGGATTGTACATGCAATTAACGGAACAAGGACCAAAAACTGGCCAATAAAGAGCACCCTGTTCCAAGGGCACGATTGTAAGCTTGACATTAAACACCTGACTTTTGAAGTCCTTCCAGTCGAGATTGAGTTGCTGTTGTTTAAGGCTACAATTCTGATACTGAAAGGGTGTCCACTTTTTGCGTTAGATTCTACTTGGGCTCTTGGTACAGATTGGAATCTTTATATTTCATGATTGCAAGCAGAAATCAAATGGATTGTCCATCCAGTTGTGTCCGTTCCAGGACCTGGATATTGAAGCTATTTGTTGTTTCTTGCTTGCTCAGACTCGCAGTCAGCTAGAAAAAGATGGCCTAGGGAAGACGACGGATTGACAACAAACGGAGACTACCGTTTGAGGAGTACAGACTTGCAGTGAGTATATTTCATTCTGTCCATTTAAAAAAAATATAGAGAAGTGTCAGTACTAAAAAATGGGGAGACTTATACCATCAGAACATTGAGGCAATGAAGCTGCCTTCGCATGTTCTTATCCCTCATGCCTGAACCCATTCTCTATTTGTTGCAGGTCTTCCGAGGACCTCAATGTGCAGAATTCTTTGCTGCTTGCCACAGGAAGCGCAGACAACTGCGCCTATATATATGATGTTAGCGGACCCTCTGTGAGTACATTCTCTTTTATCATTCGCATTTCCAGAGTCTTAATAAGATTCTCGAATATTGTTCGGTTCATCTTCGGTCTGGACATGTGCGGTTTCGGTCTCGGTCTTATGATAAAAATATTAATTATCTGCTACTTATAACGAAGAAACCTGAAGCATCTGAGACGAAGTGAACTCAGTAAGTGATGGAAGAGATTTTCGGCATATTAGACTCGAGACTGTCCTTCAGTTCGAACTGTCAGAAATCCAGTTTCCGTTTGGTTTTTAAGAGATGATAGCACCATGCACATTGTGTCTTTTGTACGCCAATCAACCTTCCCTGACGTATAATCTACTGGAGAATAATATCTCTTTCTTATTGTGAGATTGCTTCTGCATCAATCTTTTGATGCAGAAGCGATTTCACTTGTCACTGCGGACGAGCATTAAGTCCATTACTTCGCAACTAATTCCGAAACGCTGGCAGGGTACTGCGGAGCTCGTACAACAGCTGGATGGTCACAACGATCGCGTCTGCGGTGCTATTTTTCATCCACAAGATCCTGTTCTTGCAACTTATAGTGCAGATTTCACTCTGAAACTCTGGAAACCTAGACCACATCAAGTGACCGATCTCAGTTGATAGCCATGCAACACGACTTCTTTTTTCCTTGTATGTAAAAGTTCTGATCCACAAGTCTGATTTACACGATCAAACGGGCAAGTTGTTGAGGCTTAGCCTCGCAACCTGAATGATAATTCTCAGCCTCGTTCTCACTAAACAGAGTTTCTCCCTCGAACTTCTGTAGTCTTGTTAGTAGATCTCAATGTTAGATTGAGATGAATAGAGATAGTTTTGTATCAAGATGGGTAGAGATAGTATTTGTACAAACCGTCAATTCATTGGTGCTGTCGGCTGGCATGTTTTAGAGGATGACACGTTCTAGTTTACCATAATCGGTAACATCGCATCTTCACGATCTTGTTGGACAGATCTGCGAAGTGAATGCAACTGTGCTATGGTTAGAGTTTTTGTAAGGGGATATTGTTCATACAGTATCTTTCTACACCTAGCAATCAATCGAGCTCGACATATTCATCATTTTATCCCGAGTGGACGTTGTGATCGCATCTTTCGTTTTGTGCTTTCTGTAATGGAGTTGTAGATAAGTACTTGTGATTTTGGTGTTTGATCTCGTGGACGTTAAGTTTAGATCTGGCTGGAGTTGAATGAAATCTGAGTGTGTATCTGAACGGTGGTGGACTTGTCTGAGTGATGAAAGTACATGAAATGTAGAACAAAACTGCGGTTGAAAGAGGTTGCACTTCTGTCCATGTCAAGGACTCCAAAGTTCTCCCGACAAGTCTGGGTCTAGTGTGTGATGAATGCAATCGGGCCGGTAACGTCTACCGCAGAAGTATGGAGTGTCTCAAAAGCTCTTGGCCGAAACACATTCAAGACTGACGATAGAGAAAGATCTTGTAATGCCGACCTTGGTTTTTCTTAGCATCTTATTGTAGCGAAGGCTTATTTGTTTCCAAGAGTGTCTACGTTAACATTTTCTGGCACGTGAGAGTTGGAAACGCTTGAAACTTTTAGGTCAGGTTAGATGGATACCGTGAGTTAATATTTAGAAATAAATTTTTAAAATTTGTTCATCCCTCATTATAATTATGGATGGTTCTCTACGAACTTTAAATGTTTTGACATAAGGAGCAAGAAAGAAATGTATGTACACAGTATGGTCATATTGTAAGTGTTATTAACGTATTAACATATTTACAAAATATATTTACGTGAGAAATTTTTATGATTTGTTTTTTAATTATAAAATGGTAATGTGGTAAAATGATGGTTATAAATTATTTCTTAAATGTAGTTTTGGTTTTTTAAATTTTAAATTTTTCTAGTTTTTGTATTTTTGTTTTTTCAAAACTATGATTGTTTTTTATAGTTGTAATTTATCATTTGAAAGATGAATATTTTCTTTTACTAAATGATATATAGCTTTGACTTTTTTTCTTGAACTTATATCGAGTATATTTAAAGTTGACAGTTTACAATATTTCAAGACATAGATGAGAGTTTAACGTCACTTCAGCAAAGTATTATGGTGGAAATTGAGACTAATACAGAGTTAAACCTCCCGATAGTGTCAACTCTTGTGAGTGACATCCTCCCATTAGTGACATGAAAATGAAGAACCATTAGTTTCTAACGGGTAATTTTATCCAATAATAACAGTACGTCACTATTGTTAATAGTGTCATTAGATTTTTCAAGAGTGACTATGTCGACCTTTAATAGCTATCATAATTACCAAAAGTCTTTGTTCAGAGTTAAAAGTCTACTTTCGGAGCTTGCTGATTGGTCTATCCCAAGTCTTCTCAGTGGTTACAATATTCTCAGACCTTGAATCCGTGTCACTGATCAAATGATGTGAGCGAAGATGTCGACGATATCAGACGTCTGTCTCTGCTCACTCGTTGCAATCTGGTTGTGCGATGTTTAAACCCTTGTGGGAAGAGTGCTGGAAGGAAATTGAGACAAATCGAGTGGAAAGAAGAACAGGTCGGTTCTGCCAGTGGTATATTTTCACGCCTTTTCAAGTTGGTCAGGATGGAGCCAAATCCATGAGGAGGAAAACAAGTCAAAAGATTTCAATTTTCAAGGGTGGCTCCGGGCTGATTCAGAAAATCCAAAATTTCCAACTTCGTCTTCACGTCCAAACAACGCTTGCGTTTAGACATGTGTGAATAAAAACGGGTGTAGATTAAGAGAGAAAAAAAAACTCCCTCCAAACAAGTACAGATTGCGTTGAGAGAGAAACGACTACCTAATGCATAACAACTGTGACAGATTGCGTTGAGAGAGAAACGACTACCTCATGCATAACAACTGTGACAGATTGCGTTGAGAGAGAAACGACTACCTCATGCATAACAACTGTGACGGATTGTAGCGAGAGAGAAAGAAACGCCCATGAAGGCACTATGACAGATTTGTCGAGAAAGAAAGAAGCGCCCATCGAACACAAATAACGCGGGAAAAGATTAGATATCCTCTTGTGAGTGACACCTCCCAATAGTGACATAAAACCCTAGAAGGGTTATGTGTCACTATTGGGAGGTTTAACTCTGTATAAGATTTTATCATGAATAGTGAATTTCTCAGTAAATACAAATTATTTTCACCAGGAAAAAGGATATGACAATTAATGAGATTACCTTCAAGAAGATATAATGGAACATTCTCATTTCTACAAATGAAAGCTATTCACACTCAGAATGAAATATTTATTGGAATAGAAAACTTGACCAGAATTTATAGCCGGCTTTATTTTGTTGTTACAAATACATCAAGTCGACAGATTTCAGCATCGAACTTCCGATGGTTCGATAAGGCTAATGTACAGCTCAATACACACTCTTCTCTCAGATCTTGACTCAACCGCAGTGAACACGACCAGCAAAATAGAAATTTCCTCGTGTCCCTGACTTCAGGCTCTACTAACCAGAGAACCAAAGATCTATGACGAATTTATAGAAAACTGATTTTCAGAAAAGGTGTCCACTATGAGTAAGTAGTGACTCCTAGCTGGTGGATACATCAATCCTGCATTATAGTGTACACTCTGCGGAATTTTTACAGATAAAAGAAAGAGAATCTCCGTGTGTGAGATCATATGGTACAAGATTGGTACACTTCAGTTCTTCTTCCCGAGGTTTTTGGTGTACTCAGACTGCGCTTGGTTGTTCCTCTTGGTGGAGTCAGCCGGAATACCATCCGCGTTGCGGTGAGCTCCGAAGTTTACATCTCCAGTCTTGCTCTTCAGGTCCCTACCATTGTCCTGAAGCTTGTCCTGGAAAACAGAAGCGCGAAGCTTTAGAACAAGGTCACGGAATTTCATGCAATTCGCTGCATAAGTTGTGCGTATGGACAGGAATCATCGGTACAAACACGATCGTGCTGCAGGGTATGACGACGATTTGCGACTCACCATGACGTTCTCCTTCACGCCATCGAAGACGACGGCGGTCTTCTCAGCCATCTCCTTGGCAGCCTCGGTGATTCCTCCGGTGGAGCTCTTGTGCTCCGGCTGTCCCTGACGTCCCACTCCGGGCTTCCTTCCGGGGCTGCCAGTGGACTGGTTACCAGAGTTGTCGCCGGGGATGATGTCCTGAGCTTTCATCGTCAAGTCCGACACGGCGTTCTTCACTTTGTCCATAACATTCTGTCATCACAACCAGCCCAAGACCATCGTCACTCACACATTCTTCCGCAAATCGAAGCGGGCTGTCAATGGAGATTTTCAAATTTCTCCCAAGACAAACAATTTTGTAGACGCGACGAGACAATGTGTGCTTCAGAAATACGAGAGATCTACTGCGAGAGCGAAAGAATGCGCCGTCAATACTCGGGATCCGGACATACCTCGTCGTCGGGCTTGCGGGGATCACGTCCTGCGCGTACGCACAGGGAACGAACTGGAGCTGCCCGAACGGAGAGGCCGGTCCCTCGGAGTCCGGCATTGTTGAACGACACGGACCTGGAGCTGCTCAACGTGACAGTTGCAGCAGCCGGGGCGACAATCATGGTGGAGGCGACGCAGACGGCGGAAGCCATGACGACGATGATGTATGCTGAAGATGAACGTTGAAGTCGACAAACTTTGAGGAGTCTATTCGATCTCGGAGCTCGGATGCGGATTTCGAGAAAATTCAGGCGATGAAAGCGTTGAGAAGATGAGAAGGCGATGATGAGGAGAATGATGCCATGAAATCGAGCTCGAGCGCGTTTTATACTCGAGGACTCGGGCATGCATTCGACGTGATCGCGGCTGCAGGAATTCGCGTACGTGTCGGGCGATTCGCCGAGTCCGGTATCGGACGGCGGGAAGAGCATGGCGATAGAGGATCGGCGATGGGTTCGTGCCTGGCCGCGATTCCGCGGGGCTGGAACCGGGTCAGATTGGTGGCACTTGTAGCCGTGTCGTGCATGGCATCTGGCTCGCGCTCGAGCTTTCGCTCCCTTCCAACGACGTTTTGCCAAGTCGTCCGCTCTGAATCTCGTTGCCCCGTGGCCCCGCTCGAATCGTCGTAGATCTCCACCTTCTCTTCTCGAAGTAGCCCCCGCAATCCGTCGTGGGTTTAAGAAGCTGGACTGGACCCGAGAACAGACGAGAGGTGGACCCTCGTCGTCATTCCCCGGTCTCTGGTGCTCGGCTGGTTTCTGGTGGAGAGTTCTTGTGGCACTGCGGATCCGACGAGTGATGATACGACCAGTAGTCAAGTGCAAGGTTTGCTGATCTGATCTGAGCTGAGATGAGACGGAAGAGTTCTATCGATGCCTCGGGATGGTTGAGAGACGCGATGGGCTGAGTTTCTGGAGTCAATTCTGGAGTGTTTGGCAAGCCTCGAGTCAGTCAGTTGTGGATTGCGTGCTGTACATCAGCGAGCCACGTTCAGTGTTGTTTTGTGTATGATGTTCCTTCTCTTGACTTGTCAAATTGCGAAAAGTTCGGTGCTCTCGGAATCGTGGGAGATCAAAGACGAAGTAGCTCCGTTCTGTTTCTTCATTGTCATCTTTATATTCTTGGGTAGAATCTGCCGACCACTCCACAAGTAATTCATGTTTCCTATATCTCCTGGGAAGCTCATCATCGAATCAAATCCAGCGACTGAGACCGTAATCCAGTCTTCTCTGCAGACTAGTTTGTATACGTTCCTTATCCCTTTGTGCCGACCGTGTGATCGATCTAAGATCAGATTGCTTCGTTAGGGATAGAACGTCGGCAGAGGCTAAAAAGCAGCACCCCCTGTAAGCGAGTTCAGTGAGAAAACAGCTTGGTCAGGCAGGTAGGCATGACAGCTTCTGCCTGCCTACTGTTGCGACTTGGGAAAAGATCGTGAGAAGCTGAAATAGATGCAATTGCGAGGGAGGGATGTAACATTGGCTTAATGAACTGAGGTCGAAAAAGAGTTTGAATGACGGTAGAGAGAGAGAGAGGGAGTTGAGGTGTAACAATAATCGCAAAGGTCATAATTTGACATCACAGGATTCGCTTCTCTCGACGACTCGTCGCTGGCAGACTGTCTCGGTATAAGTACTCAATACGAACTGCATAATACACATAAGGCTATCATCACTGTGGATATGCGTCACAATCTTAATAGCTGCAAACCTCGTTTAATGAGAACGAGGTTTGCAGCTAATTCTGAGTTCTTCTTATATAGTGCGGATATAGTGTGAATTAGAGGGATGCATATGGTTGAGTCGTATACCCTGATGAAAATGTTGTTCTCACCAGTAAAACCACGGTCACATTTCATCTTGCCGTTCACAAAATCGAAATTCGAGAAGGTGGAAAGTATTGCCTCCTTTTAGCTCCTTAAATTGAATGCATAGAGATCTCTATCACTATCAAAAAATATTTTTAAACTACTCCTTGTTTGTTTGAAGCAAAACACTGTGATGATAATGATAGCAAGGAGAACTTATATACACATGATTATTTTCTTGGTATTATTATTAGAAAATTAGTCTATTTACTTCAGAAATTTACACAATAACGTACTCAATAATGTGAAAAATTGAATAACACACTATAAAGTGTGGTTTATAATACGTATAATTATATAGTTATTATTAATACTCTCATTTTGTAAAATATATGCACTTAGATGCTAAGAGCTATAGTATCTTAGTTTAATAAAATTCATGACAAAAGAACACATGAAGAGTAAGGTACTAAGTGGTATGTGTTATCATTGTGTGGCTATCATGCTCCTGTTCCTAGATAGCATTTTCTGATGTTCCACAAGATATATTTCATTACATTCTGTTGTTTTTCATTTAGATTACAAGTGTTAGATGTTGCAGATGGTGAGTAGTTTTAAACACTCAAACAATTTCTTATTTTAGTTATTTAATTTACTTCAATCCACTTCTGTTTATAAATGAGATAAGATCCGATTTTGACAATATGAATGTACACATATTCAAATATAATATTGGAATAATCCATTAGTATGGTGCTTATATATCTTTGAGAATATTGCAATGATAGCACAAACCTAGGCTGAAAATTCCCAACGAGTGTGCCTTCATGGATTTTTCACGAGATTTTTTCACCAATTAACATCCTATTGATTTTAGATTATGAAATCAGCTTGGTATCTAGAATCATGTCAAAAACTACACGATATAATGTTTACAAATACCTCACAAAAGATGTAAACCTTAAAAAAATTATATTATCGTTGATATTGATATATAAGAAAACTTAAAATTGAATAATCGTATGGAAAAGATATCAAATTGAAATTGAAGATGTCTTTCTTGGAGTATATCAGTAAGCTAAGTACAACGTTATAATAAGTTGAAGTTCGTTTTTCACTTAATATGTTCCTGGAGATACTGGTTTTCCTGCATTTTGAATGAAATTAGGTATAATAAGTTTATTTCTTGGAAATAAAACGGTGAATTTCCTTGGAATCTTGACCTGTAAATTGAACGCTCTTTGTTGCTTTGGATAATTTCAATGCTCAGGGATCCAACCTTTTCTTAAGTATAGATTGCCAACTAAGCGAAGAAAAAGTGCAGAGTTATACTGGAACTCAAACTTCATTTGTTGGAACTCAGTAATGATTTTAATCCCTCGTATATACTGTGGTTTAAATTCCTGAAGATTTAGAGTTGTGGTGAAGCTCAAACCTATGTTTATGGAGCATTCGTACCATATTTCATGTCGTCTTCTACCATTAAATCAAACCATTGAAAGGTACTGGAACCCAGAGCTTACCCATATGCTTTTTACTCCATCCCTTGAGAAGTCATATTTCCTCCAGCAGAGAGTTTAACACCAGAGATGTTGATGAAGATGCAATCATATATCTTGGCTCTATTGGCCGTGAATCTGACTCACCTTCCTGATCACGGTCAAAGAATCAATAGTCTTGAAAGATATACAGACGCTGAGCGACACAAGAAATATTCTTCTGCAGCATCGTTGTTGCAGAATGAGAAGATATTCTCACGAAAAGATGTGGACGAGAAGCATCTACTTCCTGCCAAAGATCGAGATGTGTTTGTGCTTTAGAGATGCTTCAAAACTCAGAAGGGTTACTTAATGGAGGAAATGGGTCTTTACTCCAAAAACTTCCTGGTGGTTATATTATCGTGAAACCATGGGTATAAGTCTCTTGAAGGTTCTGCGTTTCAAGTGAATAGTCAGTAAAGTCTCAAAGATGAATGAACGCATCTTCCTGCATGAATAAAATCTTTTCGTTTGGAGGTCTTCAGTAACATGACAGGAGTCCACGAAGAAAAGCTCTCGCAGGCCCGCCCTCGAAGGCAATCCCCCCAATTCGTTAAAAGAAAGACAGCATGGAGAAACGAGCCCGTCAGATCACTTGGATGCCTTCACCGCCGGCGGAATGAGCGCGGCGGGACTGTCGTCAGGCTGAGCCGAGCCCAGGGTTGCACCGAGACCGGCCAGCGGTATTCGGTCATCGTCCGGATGAAGGAACGTTTCTGCAATGGTGTTCACAGATCAAGATGTTCGTGCTATGGAACAGATCCTGAACGTCACTAATTTTTCATACATATGCTTGAATGATTTAATTGTATTCCGTATTATATTTGCCTGACATGACAATGAACAAAACCATGGCGATGCTTGTGGCGAAGTGAGTATCTGAGATGAACCGTGAATTTTAGCAAATCAGAAACTTTCGGTTGATAGGTGATGTCTGAAACAGGTATGACTTTTTTTTTCAACGTAAGCGTTGCACTGTAGTGATATACTCAGGTGAATATTGCTGGGCTTGAAAATCTCTTTTGATGAATTTAGTTGTGATTATGGGTTTGTGTTTCTAAACCCTCCCTTTGTTATGAACGTGATGTTATATTTTCCACACATCTGAACCAGAAAAGCTAATCATTATATCTTCGACCTAAATATAATAATGTAGATGAAAATTTTAAGTCTAAAGTGTACATTCTACTGCTGGATTCAAGCGAGCCATCACATTCCTTAAATATTTATAACTGAGTGTTTCTGAAAATTTAAAATGAATGAGATGATTAATTTTTGCAAACCGCCAAATCTTGGTTAGTTCAATGCAAACTAGTTTTCTTTTACATTTTATTTCTAATGGTTTTATCAAAAGCATCTGTGGTTCACCAAACACTTTTACTTCGTTTCCAAAATAAAACCCAAAAGCGCAGATGAAAAGGCGAAGATCTGATAGAATCGAATGACAATCATTCACAAGAAAATTGAATTTTGCATCAGAAGGTACTATTCTGAATGAATAGTTTCTATCAAAAATTTCAATATCCAAAATTTAGGCTCCATCTATTCTATAACTAATAAGCTCCAACGATGATACAATTATACCCGCAGGACGTTTTCGGGTCAAACGCGGGCATCAGCATGAAAACCATTGTAAACCCTAACAGATTATGTGTCATTCACAGGACTTTCATATTCTTTACTCGAGGCAGTTTTATGAGCATCTCTAATGATGAGTGTGGAATTAACAGCTTTCAGAAAAACACCTCAATTTTGGCACATTACAACGACAAAGGTAAACTAATAAATATAAAATTTGCGTATGTCTGAGTGTCCAACCCATATTTTAAAATATCTTTCCTATTTTACATCGTGTGAGATTACGAGTAGATATTGTGTTTGAAACATTTATCGGAGACAAATAAAAGTGACTGAATATATACCTCGTTCTGCACATA